GCTTGCTTGGTAGCACATGTCTTCCGAGCATCTTGCTTCAGAAGCGAGGCAAGAATACTTCCTGGCATTCGGAAAACAAAGAGTGGAACAAGCTAGCAGGTGTGCGTCATATGAGAGGCCCCGCCTTACATTTTCCGCCACAGATTTGGGGAAATTGGTCCGTGCGCAAAGCATTGTGGGGATTTTAAAACCGCGGCGTCTACACATGTGCAGCCTCGAAATTTCTCGCTACGAAGTACGCCGGGCTCGGTAGAATTCCAAGTATGCTGGACATTGGAACAGTCCTTCGGCGGCACTCGATGACGTAGTATGCTTGAAATAGTGGCTCTGGAGCATCCTTCCTCGACATTGAGAAACACCCCTTGTCTGCTCAGCATGATACAGAAATGTAAGAGTTAAAAGACTTTTGAGTAGCACCTTGTGTTGGGAATAAGCCTCTGCACATTGACATTGAAGAGATTTCATCACAAACAGAGTGCGCACATGACAAGGAGATAAATTGAAAAATAACATTAATGTTTTTAAATGGCTGACACCAGGACAANTCAACATGTGTCCCCTCTTCTTCATGTCTCTTCTACATCAACATGTGTCCCCTCTTCTTCATGTCTTTTTAAATGGCTGACACCAGGACAAACGGCATGTTCTCCCAATAATACAACTGCAAACCAGATCAGTGTGACTCAGAACCCGTGAATACGCCTTGAAAACACCCAGTCTGCAGTAAAGCACAGGTTTACATGATTTTTAACAAGTTCTAACACAATAAGCTCACAAGCTGAGGCTCATTGAATTTGTTTTGACCCAGGTAAAGAAACAATCAGATTAGATGTGTCTGTTTCTGCTCCCCAAAAGCTGTTATGTGTTGTTCCCAGGAGATAAAAAAAAAGGGAGAAATCGCAATAATTGAAGTAATTTAAAAATGAGTTTATGCGCTGCAAATTATATTTTTATAAAATCAGATTTTCACAAAGATGTAGTTGCATTTTAACCTTTTCTCAATCAATACTTTCCATGATTTTATGTCGTGAAATAGAAACCAAAAATAATGAACACTCTTCATATGGTACTGGATTTAGGGCCTTGGTAAATCACAGGTTATTTATAAGGATAAGTTCAGAGATCAGACTGTTGGAGGAGTTTTGGTTGAGCTGGTAGAGTTTACAGAAGTGTAGGCTAAAAAAAAAAAACTTTACAATTCACACGTCAAAGGTCCTTACGAGGCAGGGTTCCTATACATGTCTTAATATTTAAATGTTCCATTATAACAGACTTATAATTCTAGATCAGATAACCAACTTTGTTCACGATACTGGGAAAGACATTCCCAACTTGTTATTAGAAATTAATAGATGTTTAGGAGCCTAACAATGCATAGGAACCCTGCATGAACACACAGACAACACGGCTTGTAGTGAAACAATGCAAAGGTAAATAAATGGTGTGTAGTTGCAGACAGTGAGGTAATACTACTTGAGGTCCGGCGTTCAGGGATCCAGTTGTGTTAAAGACAGTTTATCAGTTATTGAGTAAAGACATTTTTGTAGTTTGACAGAACATTTGTTACGCTCCTGAGGAACAGTCCTCCTCAGGATTAGAAACACACATCAATAAGCACCAAATGACCCAACGGGAGTCATTGTAATTCAAATTTCAATATCAAAATGCTCAAAAAAACCTCCCTGTGTGAAACCTGAAAATCACGAGTTCTTAAAAACACTCGGAAATGTGTGTGTTGAGAAGTCAACAATATTGAACACTGGCTATCCTGCAGAAACAAAATCCAAGTTCTGTGCTGATTCTGTGACGAACAAAACAATATCCACTTCGCTATCAGAAATGTTCTGAAACTTTGCACATCTGACGCTCCGACTGGCATTGAGAAGAAACTGAAAGATACACTCCTTAAACTCACCATGTGACGTCAGTAATCTACTCGTGTTCATCAAACCGGACCGACTGTGAGACTTCAGACCACCGTGATGTGCCCTCAACTTCTAAACCTTAAGAGGTGTGCAGGAATGAGTCCTAAAACCCAGAACTGAGTTAGCATATTAGCACTTCCTGTCACCTTCAAACTCGACCGTTTCTCTGGATGTGTTTGTTGTTGGAAATCAGAAATAAGGTCTGTGGCGAACACAAGTTGAAGAGACTTTTACATTTTGTTCCACGACATAAAATACCCCACTGGTGAATTTATAAACAGCGTGTGTCTAAATGAGACAAATAAACGTCGTCAGGCCGAACATTAGCTGCCTTTAGCTTAGCGGTGGCTACGCGAAATCGACGTTAGCCTTCTACTTCTGACTACTGCACTTTAACATTTATTAAGTGGTGTTCATATGTGGAAATGATCCTGCTGAACAAAACATGTAAGCATCATAAACGTGTGTTGCCACAGAGATTATTTCCTCCGAAACCCAATGGAAATATCACATTACTTCTTGTCGACGGAACCAGGAAGATGCTAACCTGGGTCAGAGATACTTCACCCCTGCACCAATCTATTCACTTCCTGTGGGCGGGGAAATGTCCATATTTGACATCAGAATTTAAATTGGGGATAAGATGCTCTACTCTGTTTCAAGACAAGTGAGACTGGTATGCAAATTACAAGTCAAAATGAAATGGAGATTTGAGAGAGTTTTGGAAAATGAGGCAGAATGAAATGCATGTTTTGAAGAGGGCAAACAACATCTGCTGCTAGCTCCTCAAACAAAAGCTGTAAACGTGGGTGTGTCACTGTAAGACTGCAGAAACAGATATTAAAGACTGCTTTTTGAAACGTTTTCAGCCTGAATATTGCATGTTTTATGTCCTGCAGGCATTTCTGAGCAAAAGTGTGTTCTGTAGTGATATTGTTAAGACTGTGTTGGTCGATAATGACGTTGAAACAACCAGAAAAAAAAGACGTGGATGGCCGGTGAGATGAAGGGAAGCTTTCTTCCTAAAGTCTTGTAATGCTATGAGATCAATGTAACATACACACATGGCAGAGGATCTGATATATTTGTTTTGTGTTGTCTTTCTCAGACAACATAGAGAAGCTTCTATATACTTTGATACTGATAGGGAGTCTGTCTTTAAAAATCCTAATTTATCGCCCCCGACATATAGATATTACGGTGGCCGACAGGTGCAATCACGCTACAACGGACAACAACATTTCCATAGGACAAACGCTTAGTAGTTTCAAAATCAATGCCGGTATAAAAACACAAATGTTAATGAAGAAACATCCACACCAACTTGACAACACATGAGCAGCATTTACCTAAAACGTTGCAAGAAGCTCAAAACACAACGGAAACTAGGGGACACTAAAAGGTGTCGCACACGGCTAGGAACGTAGCACAAGGTGACGTTTGGGGATTATACTGTTGGTCTATTTCATAACCGTCAGTGTGTTATCATTATTATTTAAATGAATAGGTTAGCTTACAGAAGATCACATTGTTAAAATAAGCCATTCAAACTTTTATTTTAATGTTAGTTTCCAGTGTTATAATCCCCTGGTTTCCGTTGTGTTTTGAGCTTTTACTAAATGTTGCCCATGTGTTAAGTTGGTGAAAACGTTTCTTCATTTTCATGAGTTTTGGCCCATTTGTGTTTTTATATTTGCATCGTTTTTCAAAGTGAAAAACGTTTCTATTAATGGAAAAGTGTTGGGCTGGTGGAGCGCGTTAGCACGTGTTAGCCACCGTAAGATAGCACTTCTGGGATCCACTCTCTTTTCTTCTAACAGTCTAAAGTCTCTCTTACTCTCTTCAGTCTCTCTCTTTCTCTGTAATGACATTTTATGTACAATATTGGTATATAGAACATAAATTACTACACAATTTTTTTTAAGCCTATTCACAATTGACAATCATCAAGAACCCAATAGCAAAATTAGACAAAGCCGACGAACTGAGAAAAATAAAAAATAAAAAATCAGAGACAATTTACGTGAAACAGCCTGGTATATAACTTTCTCCATAAACTTTCTGTGCTCCCAAGACGTGTCGAGTGTATTGTTGAAGAAAGAAAGAAAAAACACCTTTTTTATATAAAAAAAGACCCGTCCTCCTCCCGTCTCAGTCTCAGGAGGATGAAATCTGCATGAAGCTCAAAAAAGACGGTGCTTCCCGACATCGTGTTTGCGTGTAAACAGAGCACCAGTAGTGTCTTGGTTCCATGTGTCTCTTCTGTACAAAAGTATAAATATATGCTTTACTCTCCATTTTTTCGTTTTGTTCACATATCTAGGATGTAGCGGACAAAGAACAGGTTGTTTTAGTTCCTAAAAACACACCAGTGTTGCAGTATCTGTGCTGGAGGTTGCCAGTTTTTTTTGTTGTTGCTCCCCCCCTCGCCCTTTAAATCCCGATTAGCTGGCTCGTGTTGACTTTTACCGTCGGGTGTTTGCTTGGTGTTGGATGATCGTCTTTGCATAAATTAAAAAGGTTTTCGGCACAGTCCGCGGCCACCAGGATAAAAAAGAAAAACAACCGTTGTGTCCGTGTTGGCTACAGCAGATCCATCTTGGGTCTGTAATGGAGCAGGAGGGGGGATTTCTGCGGGGGGGGAGGGAGACACAAACTGTTAGAAAAATCTCACTCGTCACCAGCTTGACTTTCAATCTCAGGATCCATGTATCTGTGATCCTCTCCAGAATGGAAGTAGTCATCACATACAGAGCATCAACTAGTTCCTGAACAGTGTCCTTCACATGCTGATATCCAAGAGAGGGAGTTACACAGTCACAAGATGGAGGAATAGAAAGCAGTATTCAATGTTTACTTCAGATTAGCTCCACGTCAGAAATGATCATGCTTGTCATATGTCTCTCTCCATAGAGGCTGAATCATCATGTTAATCACATAGCTATCATATGCCTCAAACAGTCCTGATGCTCTTCTAGGTAATCACACATCCTGTCATGTTCACAGCTACAGTTGATACCTTTGTTATCATGTTGCTCTCATGTTGGAAGAGGACATTCAGTGTTTTCACATCAACTTCTCCCCTGGTCCTCAGGTACCTGGGGATCTGCCACCCGATGCGGACCATCACTCTGGAGAGTAAGCGGGTGGTGAAGGCCACCTGTGCCCTGGTGTGGGTGGTGGTCTTCATCCTCACCTGCCCCATCTTCAGGTTCGCTCAGACGGGATACGTGAGGCGTGGCGGCGGGTCGAGGGAGGACTGGAACATCACGGGAGATTCATCTGAAGACGAGGGCGGATACACCAACTGCTGGGACGACGCCATCGACAAAGAGTTCGCCGACTACGTCCCGTACGGCATCTTCCTCCACCTGCTGGGCTTCTTCCTGCCCTTCCTCATCATCGCCTGGTGCTACTCTCAAGTCGTTTTGGTAATTTTATGGCTTTTTATGACTATGTATTTTTTGAAAATGTGTGATATCATTAACGGGCATGCCCTTAAAGTGTTCTTAGTTTTATTTTATTCTAAAAGTCTTGATAAGTCTTTAAAAGTTCTAGTCTACTCTCCAGACCATTTTCCAGACTCTCCGATCCCCCCCCGGCTCCACGGAGGGCGGAGAGGACGACGGGGCGACGGAGGGCGAGCGCGAGAGGACGTCCGTCTCCATCTCCGGGTCGCAGTACTCTCACTACATCCGGAGGAGGAGGAAGTCCATCAGAACCATCGTGACGATCACCCTGCTGTTCGCTCTGTGCTTCCTGCCGTTCCACGTGACGCGGACGCTGTTCCTGCTGCTGCGGCGGCGCGGAGGCTGCACGCTGATGAAGACCGTCTCCATCTGCTACAAGGTGACCGGAACGTTCCGTGTTCATGCTTTAAAGGTCAAATGTTACAAAATCCACTTCTCCATGTCTCTTCACCATGTGTCCCATCTTCCTCATGTCTCTTCACCATGTGTCCCCTCTTCTTCATGTCTCTTCACCATGTGTCCCCTCTTCTTCATGTCTCTCCTACATCAACATGTGTCCCCTCTTCTTCATGTCTCTTCTACATCAACATGTGTCCCCTCTTCTTCATGTCTCTTCTACATCAACATGTGTCCCCTCTTCTCCATGTCTCTTCTACATTACCATGTGTCCCCTCTTCTTCATGTCTCTTCTACATCAACATGTGTCCCCTCTTCTTCATGTCTCTTCTACATCAACATGTGTCCCCTCTTCTTCATGTCTCTTCTACATCAACATGTGTCCCCTCTTCTCCATGTCTCTTCTACATCAACATGTGTCCCCTCTTCTTCATGTCTCTTCTACATCAACATGTGTCTCTTCTACATCAACATGTGTCCCCTCTTCTTCATGTCTCTTCTACATCAACATGTGTCCCCTCTTCTCCATGTCTCTTCTACATCAACATGTGTCCCCTCTTCTTCATGTCTCTTCTACATAACATGTGCCCCTCTTCTTCATGTCTCTTCTACATCAACATGTGTCCCCTCTTCTTCATGTCTCTTCTACATCAACATGTGTCCCCTCTTCTTCATGTCTCTTCTACATCAACATGTGTCCCCTCTTCTCCATGTCTCTTCTACATCAACATGTGTCCCCTCTTCTTCATGTCTCTTCTACATCAACATGTGTCCCCTCTTCTTCATGTCTCTTCTACATCAACATGTGTCCCCTCTTCTTCATGTCTCTTCTACATCAACATGTGTCCCCTCTTCTCCATGTCTCTTCTACATCAACATGTGTCCCCTCTTCTTCATGTCTCTTCTACATCAACATGTGTCCCCTCTTCTTCATGTCTCTGAAAGTTTCAGGAACAAAGATTCTCTCTCTTTTTGATC